GCGAGATCATAAAAACAGAAATTTCATCATAAGTAGTACATTTAGTAAAGCTACGAAGTAGAATACGTGGAGCAATAGTTTTGGTTTATTGGTATATCTGTTGGACATATTCCTTACATTTACTGTTTGGATGAATCATGGTTCGCTTAGTTTGGTAATGATAACAATAAGACTAAAAACGACGACGTGAGAATGAAGTTGAAAATGAGGCAAATTGAGAATATGATAGCTAAAACTCTGATGTTGCCGTTGTTAAACAATATAGAGGAGAGGCGGCTTTATTAGATTTGAATGTGTTGTTGTTGCCAAAAGATAAAATAATACAATACTGCAGAGAACCAAGAGATGCCAATCGCTGGTTCTATTTGTTCTACCACCTTGGGTGTTGATGCAATGTAAAATAGATGCATAACCTTATTCCTTGCATCCGTGTTAGATTATCATAAAATAATTCAGGTTGGCCAGTTTTTGTGTCGCCCTAGTACATGAAATATTGTCTAGAATTCGAGGAGGTACTTTTCGACAGCGTTGAAACATCTCCGGGTGTGGGAGCACTTTGGGGGACATTTATTCACCGGAGGAGGTAAAAGGCATGCTTGAGCTCAGAGAAATTATAAACCATCCAGCCGATATGTGTGAATGTGGTGTTTAATTGGGTCCAAAGAATTTTCTGTTACAAACTTGCTCGCGGCTACCGCGCGGTGATACTTGTCACCCGCCAACATTCTTAGGTATGTCCTGCGAATGCCGCGATATGTTTAAACACACCTTTAATTACTTAATAGATTTTGAGATTCTGGAATTATGTATAATTTTTTGCGTATGCTGGAAATGACATTTTATGAATATAGTATTAAATGATATAGAATTTAAAGGAATAATTTTTAATTTAAATCGTGTTTTATATTGAAAAATAAAATCGTTCAAAATTGGATTCAGTTCTGTAGTTTTGAATTAAAGTCGCCTGTTAAGAGCATATAGTGAACACGCCGTCCTTGCAGGGCCATATCAATATCACCATAGAATTGCTCAAGTTCTTTTTCTTCCGAATTTGATGTACGAGCGTAGATCCCTATAACCTTGAGGTATCTTGAATTTAGTCTTAAAATGTAGAGGTAGATGACTACTACATCTGATATATGTTTCTCGTGAATTATAAATCCTACTCCTTCTTCTGATGCTGAGCTCATATTCTTTGAATTGGAATAGGAGTCCTGACTTTAATATTAAGGATAGGAATGCATCCCTGAAGTATCAGGATAACAGATGAATATCTCTACCCGCTACTTTACATTATAATACTTTATTAGTATTAGATACAATTTGGTTTTATTATGATTTGCAGCATCAAATTTACAAATGCCACATTTTTCATGTCTTCTGCAAGTATTTTATCACAGTAATTTTTGAATATTGATTTAATAATAGCCTCAAATTTTGTCCTGGCACATGAAAATTTAGCATTAATTTAGTTGTACAATCCATACTACGAAAACTTTGATTGTGAATTAAGGTATGAAATGCAAATGATCCCTCTATTACAGTTAAATATTTTAAATCTTTAAAATAATTACAAGTTTCAAAAAAAATTATTTTACTTTGTTACTAATGAAAGCTGATTCATCTCATGATTGCTTATGTTTCAAAGTGTTCAACTGTTCCGTTATAGTTCTAGACTGCCACCAACTGCAATACAAAATTCTCCACTGCAAATATTGAGAAAACAATGGTGTCTTTTTTCGGTATGAATGATTGTAATTCCTTTTTCAAGTGATCGTGTTTCAATGGTGAAAGACAATTGAAATATGTCCTGCGCATGCGTTTCATAATCGAGTCTTTCCGAACTGTAACGTCACATGACACATCGGTTTAGCGCGGCATCTCTAAATACAGAAATTAACAGATTAGTTTTAAAATATCGAAAAGGAGGACACTTTTTTGGAAGGACAGAACACTAAAAAACAAATGGACAAAAGAAGTATTATCCTCATTAAAGGAGGACGATTGGTCACCTTATTATTCCCGAAGTTGCTCTATTTCATGTTCAAATGAGTTCAAAAGTTGCTCGGGGTATTCCCAGAGTTGTCTATAGGATGTATATGTAGTTCTAATTTTAATGTTATTAAATAGTTATTGAACGAAAAGCAGAACTAGAAACATTCGGGTTTAGCCGTCTTAAGAGACGAATGGCTAAACTGAAATGTTTCTAGTTCTAATACTAGGGTTAGTTCTAGAAGTTGCCCAGTTGTTATTCAGTGTTAGATTGTTTTTTGTTTCTCATTGAACTAAAACTAGAACACTAAACCTAGAATCAGAAAGTTTCGGGTTTAGCGGTGCGTCTTCAGACGCATGACTAAACCTTACTATTTCTAGTTTTAATTGTTATTCAACGTTAATTGTTCTGTATTTTTATTAAACTAAAAGTGGAACTAACATTAGACCTAGAAACATTTGGGTTTAACCATGCATCTCTTAAGAATTTTTTTAACGCAAGACAAATTTGTAATCAAATACACGAAGAGGAAATTACAAAGACTGATTGGAATAATAAACAGAAAAGATCATCACTTCACTGCACCGGAGGAAAGAAAATAAACAATTAAATTTAATTGTGTGTCCAAGATTTCAATAATATTCATGGATCATAATCTCTAAATTAAATCACTTTATTACCAAAATAATTGCTTTTAAAACAATTGATTGATTTCATTCATACATTTTTCAATTGAAATTCGTGTTTCATTTTATATTACCAAGAAATGAAATTGAATACTATCATATTTTCTTTAATTCGATTACGAACTAAATATTAAACGTGACACAGTTTCGAAAACGCAAGAGAGATAGCCTGAAAATCTATTTTTTACTAATGGTTTGCGGCACATCAAGTGACCTATGAACTTCTATCTCACACTTATCAAAACAATTGAAGGCTGATGACTTAAGAGCGCTTTTAATTTAAATAACACACATAAGATTTTAAAAACTATGCGTTATACATTCAGAATCAATTACGTACAATTTATTATTATAAATTATTTCAGTTTAATTCTACGACGTGAAAACCCTTAAAACCGGCGTTTATTTTTGACAATTGAAATTCGTTGACAATTGAACTGACATTAAACAAAAGACGATCACCACGAAGTTATAAACGCCGCGTGCTACATTAACTTTTACGTTTTTATTTAAATAATTTATTACCTATTTAAATCCCACTAACCTTATACTTTTCAAATCCGGTTAAATGTTCCTCCCCCAGATATTTGAAGTCCATTTTAATCGATTTCAATGACTATAAACACTAATTAAGATTCAATTAATCATCTAAATTAAGAGATTTCGAAGATTTCAATCATAGTTTTCTTGACGATGCTGCGTGGTTTTTCTGTAAGCGGACAATTTTGTATTAAACTTATCGGCTGTATAATTCTAGCGTGAGTGACGCCATTGTTGTTTATGGATGCCGGTAGCGTTATCTGGTGGTTGACACTAAGTTTAGTTGCAAGAAAACGATGAAGATGTCACGGTCTTTATTATATAGTTCTTCTGTTCTTTGAGAGATGGCACTAACAAATTTTATTTCAATTGGATTTTTATAACTTTTACAATATTTGATTTTTGATGTTTTATTTAATTATTGTTATTATTAGGGGTACTTACGACAACCATGCTGATAAATTGTTGTGGAATATTGAATATCTTAAATTGTTTAATTTTTGAAGTAAAACATGTGACGTTTAATTGACGGTAAATGCGTTGTCATTAAAAATTGGGTTTTCCTTTATTTTGTTAAAAATAGGCCTACTTGTTATATTTGATCAAATAACATGTAATTTCATATGATTTTTACTTGAATTTTGAGTCTAATTAATCCATTTATTCCCAATGCAAAAAATTATAGAGTATACCGAGAACAGTCATTAAAAAAAATCTAAAACATACAAACCTGTTTTAAGGGCATAAGCAAAAGGAGGCAGCTTTAAGTGCCTTATCGCTGAAAACATGCTCTTCACTCAAGTTGATGCAGGATAACCTCAGAGCACACCTCGAAATCCTCAAGGACCCACGTCTAACCACTTGACTGAAATTAAACCGGACCTTATACCAACAGAATAATACCAAACAGATAATTTCGACCAACCGTATAAGGTCATATTTAGAAGCAGGGATGATTAGACGAAGGGTGAGCCTCAACTTAAAAGAGGAGCTTTTACTAGATACACCTATGCTTCAAAGATAGTTGGATTCGGAGTAGGTATGGGCATTAGTAGACTAAATAGCAGCATTAAATTGACCCCCAGCTCGGACATAACCATTTTTCAAGCAGAAGTTCTTGCTATAAACTGCTGTATCGTTTTGAACCTAGAAACGGGACAAAAAGGTGCATTGATAAACATTTTCACGTGTGACACCGCACTGATCTGAGAGTGTACCAGCAACCTGAGAGAACTCGCTTGGTGGGTTTCAGCTCACAAGACATTGAGGGCAATGAAAAGACGGACAAGCTGGCCAAAGAGACAGCGAAATTGAACCCCAACCCGGCTGTGAACTACAAAAAAACCATTTAAAACAGGCAATCAATAGTACAGGCCTCAAAGGTACCCTGGAAAGAACTTCCAGGTCACAGACAGGCGAAGACCATGATAAACTCAGCAAAGAGGATCTAAAGTCGCTCTCAAGCTTCAAGGCCATGCGCCCCTAAAATACCACCTCTTCCATATTGGACAAGCTGAGGATCAAACTTGTCGGCTTTGCAACGATGACTCACAGACTGCTCAACATATACTAATGCGTCGCCAGAGGCTGCCTAAGACACAACATTTTCGGTAAAGTTCGCCTCACATCTATCGACATAAAAGAACTAGACCTTGGAGCAATACTAAGGTTCATCAAGGACCTACATTTGTCCTAAATTTTTGGAGGGCTTAAGTCGCAACAGGTCTTATAGGTTGCGGTGACGAGATGATCCCCTCAACCCGGCAGCTATAATAATAATGAGGGCATATACTCAAACAAGTACAATGGGAACATGATGACGTTATAGGGATAGGGTATGTGCAATTTATCAAGCCAAACAATGATTCTAACTATTTCTTATGAAAATGTATGCAACAATCACGCTCTAAATAATGTTGTCTATCTTGAGCGCATTTGACAAACACGACATCGTAACTGCTTTTCGATCTTTTTCAGAAAGTGACCCCTTGAATTGCATACCAGACTCGGGGGAGGTCTTTGCTGTGAACTGCTGACTGATTTGGCAACAGATCGCATATAATATCTGGAAATATTACGTGAATACTGGTGTATTTTTCAGAAATCTTCGTATGGTAATTATTTATTGATTGGTCCAGTTTATTTTCTCTATTCAGAACGTCTATTTTCTCTCTCGTTCCTTAGACCAACGCTTTACTCTAGAAAGAGTACAAATTGAATCATAGTTTTTCATCATTGTTACCAAATTGTTGTCTTTCCATCTGACAAGTAATAGCAAGTTTTCGCTGTTATATTTATGTTTGAAAGGCCCACGAGCATCCTATCTCATTTCTTTCTCCTTCGGCAAAAGACATTTACCGCATTTTCACAATCTGGTCCTGAGTAGCTCCAATTCCTTAAAATAAATCCAACACTATCCTGGATCCAAGACCTACTTTTTTATCATGATTCAGTTGTAGTCTTGCGCCGCAGAAGGTGTTAAATTTGTAGCAATATCTAGTGTATAAAGCGTCCAGTCTTTATATCCAAATCATACTGGCTTTCCAGGGATAAACACTTTAGGCCAGTATTACACTGTCATAGATAGCTGTCATAGTTCTCTGTCATAGATCTATTACCAAATATTTCTAATATCAAGTTTGATGAGATAATATTATGGATTATTATTGAATTACATTATTATACGAAATGGATGAACAACAGATTTTTGCTTTTGATGCCTGTTTGAGTTCAATAATTACAATACGTTTACTGTTAAAAAAGCAATGTAAAAAGATGGAAAAACTAGTTTCAAAATCATTTATTGAGGGAACTGAAAAGGTGAAAAGATTTATTGAGGACCCAAAACATTACAGTTTTCAATTTTCATCAAAATTTTTTCCGTATAAGTGCAATTTTGTTCAACATTTACGACCAGGCGACGATATCCGTATGCTTTTGTTCTTGGCTGAACTTTCAGTTTTGGCTGAAAGAGACAACTTTCTCAATAAGATTCTATGGTGCGACGAAAGTCGTTTCCATAATAATGGAAAGGTATGCAAGCAAAATAATCGATATTGATCTTAGGACAATCTTAGTTGGACTATACAAACAAATAATCAAACAACCTTATAATCAAGAAGTCACCGTGACGTGGAGATCACCATGACATCCTGAACTGTTAAATATTTTCCTGGACTTAATAAGGAACGGTGCAACTTCCTTAACAAGTTTTTGATGTACTATCAGATGCACTTAATAAAAAGTTTGTGATGAAGCGAAAGTTTCTTTTAACTGCAGTGCCATCTTTATTTTTGTATAATGAATAATAACAATACTTAAGAACTGGAATCATTTACGTACTCTAACAACAACTTCTTACAAAACTAAGATTTCCTAACCCTTTAGAGGTTTGATACTTGAGAGATACTTGGCCTGGGAGTTTTAAGTGAAACATTGTGTATATGGTTTTGGAAAATGTACCTATTTTTTATTGTTTCAGTTCTTTTAATCAAAAAAAAATACACCCGCTGATGCCCATATCTACTCCAGCATCAGTGTACTAGGCCAAGACACCTCTTTACACAAGTTGAGAACGTTGTGAATATTAGGGGGGTTGATATTTCTTGCTAATTTATTTCTAACATGTTAATTCAATTGACAAAAAACAACCAAAACAATTTCACCTCATCGTCTTTACTTTATCGCAACAAAGAATCAAGCAAATAATGTTTCTGGTAATGATAAGGGCAGTATCTTTAGTGCTGCGGCACATTATTTTCCTGAAACCACGTGATGCAACATAGTGTCTATGATTTAGCCTGTCATAATAACAAATCTCGCAGCAATTATGAAGAACGTAAACCTAAACCACTATTCGTAAAGTAGTAGATTTATTTTATTGTGGTAATTAGCTTTTCTCGCTAACAAAGCATTTTCTGCACCAGGTATAAAACTGGGCACGCTGCCAATCTGTAAAATAATCATTCCTTTTCTCAAAATTGTTTAGTTTTTCAACAGTTACAACTTCCACCCATCCAAATCTTTTTGTGACATTAACAAATTACTTACCGTTTTGTATCACTATTTTAAAAATACAGTGTGTTAATTAATTATCGTACTCGACGTCATCATCGAAACTATGCAACCAATATCACAGTATTAGTATTGCAACGCGACGAAAGTTAAGTTAGTTGCATACTTTCGATGATTTTTAGACACTGTGTATGTTTAGTTAACGAGTTATTTTAAAATTGTTTATAATTAAGTGGTGTTTTAAAATACTCACCTTTAACTTTTACACATTTTTCTTGTTCGTTTGAAACAGTGTAACCGGCAAACAAAAATAAAATTGAAACAAAATCAATAGTATAAAAAATGTTAATACTAATGATTCTGTGCGGGATTTTATGAGGTTTTAAAATCTATTTTAAGATTTTTAAAGCTCAAAAAAAAACCATAAAATTTTTGTAATAAAATATTTATTAAAAACAATTAAATAATATTGTTTTCTTTTATTAATACAAAAAATAATAAAGAACTAATGTTGTTGGCACTGCACGGAATATTTTCCTATACATCTGGTTCGGCACACAGAATTTTTTTAAATATGTCGCCCGAAGATATCTTCCTTCTTTCTTTCTTTTCGATTATTTTTTATTTTTTTTCCAATTGCACCCTCGAACAACGAACAGTTCATTAACTCTAAACTAAATTAATTAACGTGGGGGGTTTGGAGAGGACATAGGGAGGAAAACAAAAACAAACATATCGAACGGCACATGAAATAAATTACACCCTTCGGAGAGCAAAAATTAAAAAAAAAAATAAACAAACGGATCGTGAAATGTGTCTCTCTCTCGAAATATCTCAAAATCATCAGGATCACAACAACAAAATACACAACTTCACCGTGGTAGAAGAATACTGAATGTAATAAGCGGCACTTGTCCGTATGACGTGTCACTTTTTATCGTCCAGTTTTGCTTTATCTAATGAAGACGTCACTAACATCTGTTGTCCTTGCGCGTTCTGATTCGGATACAATTTGTCCAAATATTTTAACGATTCACTGAGAAAATTTTGAATCGCCGTTAAAGCGGCCACGATGGCCGGACTTCCAAAACCGTGACTAATTAACGAGAAATGCGTTAAATGACGCTGTATTGATGGATCTAATAAAAGTTGAGGCCTCGTATTACACAAAGGCGATCGATCTTGATTTAACAGATCCATTAGTTCCTTGGTTACTTGTTTAGTCGCTTGTAAAAGTTCTTTCCTCCGCATCGATTCCCCATGCTGTCGAAGAAGATACTCTGCAACTTGTCGTGCCGGAAATTCCGTTTCACAAACGTAACCAAAATCTCTTGCCAAATGTATAGCTTCTCCTTCTACCAAAGAAGTTAACAACGTTACGTTAGCGGCTTTTCGTCTTCCTGCCGGTAGGTTAAGACCGATCTTCTCGAGTTTTTCACGAAGAATTCTTCCGCCGTTTTTGCTTTTTGCCCGTCGAAGAACTCCGCCGAGAAGAGAGGCGTTTAGACACTCGGGTGGCGATAAACGTCTTTGCACTTCTCCGACTGTCACTTTGTACTTTGAGGTCGAGGATAAGAGAGATAATCTTCCCGGAACTGAACAGAAGACATCACTTGGAGATACCACTGAGCCGCCTCCATGGTCTTTACCACCTTTCATACCTGCAACAATGGAAAATAATTAAAAATAATATTAAAAGGATAATCAAAAATTTAGAATCGTATAAAAACATTAAATTTAAATAATTAGTAGGTAAGTTATTTACGTTACAATTTTATTTTGACAACAACAAAATTTCCCCTTAAGTACTTTGTGAACTCACGTGAATTCAAAATATTTGTTATAAAGTACTTAAATAATATTTATTCTAAAAGAAAAATGTTAATCTAGCTCTTAAGGAAATGTTGGTTAATTAATACATGGCGCTATGTATTTATCGTAAACTATGTATGTTTTAGATGAACAATAAGCCCTTTAGTCTGGTGTTTTCTTAAGATCCCTCTTGCCATTTGCCTGGTAGGATATACCGAGAGAACGTTGCAATCATGTTAATTAATTATTTGATTGGATAAAATTGTTCTTCAATGAAAGGTCGCTTAAAGTATCTATAATCAAGGCGTTTCTCGTACCCTATTATTGTTTTTGATAGAGTAGACTGTGCTGTAGAGTCATTTCGTACCTTGTCCCAGTCTTATCCATTTCCTGGTAAGGTTAATTGCGATAATCTTACTTATACATACGTATTAAAATATTATCCTTGAACAAATTGATCAAATTATGAGTATGAATCTTGATACATTTGATGTTCATACTTTCAAGACGAATGAATTCGTTTCTTTTAAAAACGTTGTAAAACATTGATCAACCTAACCGCGGGAATATACAACTGAGAATATTATCTCCACACTTTTATGGAATCTCATCTTGTATAAAACTCCTAATTGGTTCAAAACTGTTGGCTATGAAGATGAGCTCAAAATGTTTATACAAAGCAAGTACGTCCCTTGACAAGTTGCAAATGGCGCCAAACCAAATTCACATAAAAAACAAAGCAAATAAGACTTCCGTTGGTAGCTTATGGTACGGTAAGAATTGGTGAACGAGATTTCCAAAATCCACCATCTATACAGGGTGAGTCAGAAAGAATGGGAAATCCGAATACCGGAGACACTAGACACCAAAATATGACGATTTAACCTAACATGTCTTATAGAAATGTCGGTGGTTTTTAATACACAGGGTGTTGAAAGTTAAATTTTTATTTCGAAATTTCTTGATAATTTTGAAAGTCTTTGTACTATTAACATAAAATTTGGTAGTTAGATGTTTTCGAGCATGAGAAATACGAATTTGATATTTGTTTTGTGATTACTCGTAGAGGGCGCTAGATACACATTGTACGTTTCAGATATCAAGTCATGACTATTTTGTCAGTTGAGGTATGGTAAATTAGAACCAGAAATCTGAAGGAGTTTTCAATTCTGCACAAAAAAGGTACTCTTGCTTACATTGTCTAAGTCTGCTGATTTCCAAGTTATCTGGTTTTAATTGTTTCAAAGTAATTTTAAGGTTAACATTTAAAATCAATAACACACAGTAACTATAGCAATTAGTAACGATAATAATCGATAACAATAACAATTAATTAATAACAATAGAATATTGTGACCATTTTCAGAAATCCAGTGGACTTAAATCTGGATTTCTCACTATTAAAAAACTCATTATGTCGTGGCATTTTCAAATTGGTAATAACTTTATTGTTGGTAAAAATGATTATTGCACACGGAAATTAGATCAATGTTGACAATTAACAGGCAATTGTCGAAAGATAAGCGGAAAAATAAGCCAACTTTGCTTATGTTAAAAAATTAATATTTTAGAAGAAAAAATACATTTAAACATTTAAAAGTAAATAATTCGAAAACCGATAGACTTAGACAATTTCAATAAGAGTACCTTTTTTATGTAAAATTGAATGCTCTTTGTGATTTGCAGCTCTTATTGGTCGTAGCTGTGGAGCCAAAAAACTTATGATTTGATTTTTCAACCGAGCAGCGTGTATCTAGCGCCCTCTACGAGCAATAACAAAACAAGTTTCAAATTCGTATTTCTCATGCTCGAAAACATAAAACTACCAAATTTTATGTTAATAGTACAAAAACTTTCAAAATTATCAAGAAATTTCGAAATAAGAATTTAACTTTCGACACCCTATGCCTCGAAAACCACTGACATTTGTATAAGAGATGTTAGGTTAAATCATCATATTTTGGTGTCTAGTATCTCCGGTATTCGGATTTCCCATTCTTTCTGACTCACCCTGTATAGATACACCACTTCTACATATTCAGGAGATGATATTGGTAAACATGATAAGGCTACAAAACGTCTTTACAAATTCGGTTTTTTTTTGTTAATAATCTAATTTATTTATGTCAACAACAAACTGAAGTTATCCTGGCTACACAACCTGAGTAGCGTTTTACGTCGTACACGAGGTATTTTTAGTATCAAAAAATACCAATATGTTACTTGCAGTAAGAGGAAATACGAACAATAACTTGATGTGGTAGATGATAGATCGCTTTGTCTCAACAATTTGGATTAGAGTCCTTTTTAGAAACAGGTGATTATACCTATGTCGAGTGACTCGATATAATTTGTTGAATTTGGTGATGCAATTATTACATCATCAAATGGCACTAATTGAAATATCGTTGAAACATTTTCAACGAGATAATAACATTAAATGGGATGATTTGCAGAAAAATCAAACACTTTAGGATATGAGTAAAGCTGTCTATATAGTATGAATCAAAATGATTTTGGTGTTTATTGAAAAAACTTCAAAGATACCGAAAAATAGAATATTGGTGATTAATTGGCCAAAATAATACGAATCAATTAGTAACATTTTCAACTTATTTGACAAAGGCAAAAAGAGTTAATAACATTAAAAAAAAGATTTTCCAGAAAATTCAAATACTTTAGAATGTGGGTAAACCTGTTTGGTGAGAATCAAATTGGTTCTAATTGACTAAATTATTTGAAGATTACTTAACGATAGCTTAATAATTTGTGTTTTTTGAATGTACAGAGTTAGGCAGGGAGGTATGGATGATTTGAACGTGGCGACACGCAAGGTGTGGAGAACCTTGGCGGATAACGAGTGGGGGTTATCTGTTCGTCAGGAGAGGCCATTTAGTTATTAGTAAGAATGGAGACATGGTCGGGTATCAACCTCAATACTGTATGGTTTCAATAAGATGGGGCGACATGCCATACATCGAGAGCAACTATGGAATTTTTAAGCCAGACCTTCCCTGGACGCCTCATTTCATTGCATGGAGATGTGGAGTGGCCTCCTCGGTCACCGGACCTGTCACCTTGTGACTTTTTTTATGGGGCTACCTCAAAGCACGAGTATACATAAACAAACCAAGTACACTTCAAGCTCTAAGTGAAACAATAACAAGAAATTCTTTAATTTTTGTAATGGCAACATTCAAGCTACACATTGAAAAAATAAAATTTGAGTTTCGTGGAAAAATGAGTCTGTAATTATTATTTCAAATCACCCATACCTCCCTGGCTAACCCTGTATTTCAAAAATGACAAGGACTAGAAAAGATTTATTGCTGTTCGTCAAAGTAGGACTAACCCTTTGGAAATCTTCAGGTTATTTATCATAGAAAAAACGAGTTTATAGTAATAAAAGCAATCGAGGCTATTATACTATAGCCTAGTATACTTATTATTAGTTTGTGCTTATTATCATCCACAGTCGCTAACTGTAGAATTCAACGGGAACGAAGGGCTTTGATGAGTAATCAACATTACTTGGTATTTGTAGTGTTAAAGTGAGATATTTGTGACTTGTTACATTTTTATTGCACTAATCAGCTGATGAGACTAAGGAGATATCTTCTTTGGCATTTTAATTTTTGAGATGGTGGTGTTATTCAATAGTAGTTCAACCTATGCAACTGGTGGTATTGATGTAATGGAACAAAAAATATCATTAGGCTCATTGCCCCCGTGCCCCGCAAAAGCCCTGATTATTGGAAGAGTGCACTAATTACACCTGTCCCTAAAGCTGAAAGATTCATCAGTTAAGAGGTTTGCTACTCATTCAATATAATTGACTTATATGAGTGAAAATACTGTCAAAAGTGTGAAAGAAATGTTATCTCAAAGCTTTATTTCAGACAGAAAATAGTAGGGCTTATGATTCCTCTCAGGACAAATATGTAACTATATTTAACAACTTTGAAACGTTATGTACGTATTGAACCTTGCTTGACTACTTTCGAATTTTTGTGAGTCGAGTCAGTTCGACAACTGTTACAAACTTGAATAGATCTTACAATAGATACATTTCAATAGATTTACATTTTTATAGTATTTTCTTTTCAGCAATCAGCTTATGAAAGGTTTTCCATAAATGCCGATAATTCTACTTTCAACATCATTTTTTTCCTGGATTTTTTTTTGATGCGACTGATGTGGTACCTACTAGATTTGTTTGTTACTATATTTTTGTATTGTTTTGTTCAAAGCGGATTAAAATGCTACATCATGCCTGATTTTGCAGATTATGTTCTGTATACTTTTTGACATAAACTTGCATTTGAGAGAACACCATCCTAGTCTTTTTTCCGTATGCATTCAATGTTTTCCTGTTTTAAAGAAATGTCCAGAGCATCATTTAAAAGGGTTCTTTATCAAAATATAGATCAATATACATACAAATCTTCCAGTTCTCTTTGTGTAAGGGAACGTTTTGTTTCGAAGTTGACATTTTTGAGTGTAATTGTCGAAATGGTATTGATTCTTTTATACTTAGACTAATCATTTAATGCCCAAATCTGATACTTGCTTCATTGCATCTTAATCATTTAGATAAGATTCCTAAGTAATTATTTAATTAAACACAACTTCATTTTCGGCAAAGAACTTTAACTTTTTTCTGCATTACATACAAATAATATTATCATGAGGTTCAGGATATAAACTTGATTGTATTGAAGCAAATTACCCAAAAGCGATGGATACAATCCATTTTTTTTTTTAATAATTTACAACGAAATTGAATTTTGGGCCGATAAAAATGTCTGAATTGATTAAAAAGCTTTCAGAACTCTACAAAAAATAAAAAATTCTCTAAATATTAGAAAGTAATAAAATATTTTTCTTTTTTTGTAACTTTCAAATTTATTATGACCCTAATTCTGATTCGGTAACTTTTTTTCAACGAATCATCATCATCAACTTTAACAAGGTTTTTCCCTTGTTAGAGAAGTGTCCAATCATAAGAGCAATTCGCAAAGAATATGATGACATAAAACGAACGCGAACCGGCTTACAACTTTAATTAACCAACAATGGAATGCGTCTAGTCATATTTCATTAGCATTTTTTAGGCGAAATTGGGTTAACAATTTTTTTTGTGTTGTTAAGTCTGTCGCTTGACTGAACGTACTTTAAAAAAACTCAATCTAATAAATTGGTCACGACGTGATACTTATTTGCCTGACTATTAGATTGGCCGGATAAACTCTATTCCCTTTTCATATGACATTTTTTTTTTGCTTTCTTTGTAACATCTGTCGCATAAACATCCGTCGAAAAGAAGGGGGTTATAATCGTGGTTTAACAAAGCAAACAATGAAATTATATCCTGCTGTGCTAAATATATGGTAGAAGATAATAATGAAACATTTTATTTAGTTTAAAATTAATTACTTACTTTTGAGCAATGGTAAATCAGCAATAAATCCAGTATTATCATCGATTCCACCTTGAGCTTCTTCCACTGCTTGTCCCAAAGCTTGATGAAGTGAAAGTGGATCTTCATGGGGTCTTTGTCCACTTGTAACACCATACTCTGGTCTACTACCTGGTCCTCCGCTATATGGAAAACTCGCCCCATGACTTAATTGTCCCTAAAAAACAATCACAAAGAAAATAAAAATTAGATGCGACGAAATCTTTTTATCGAATAACGATTTGTTGAAATATGTCTAGAATGGGGAATCCTCCCACATCATCGTTCAGCAAGGGGTAACTATCTGCGGTTTAGAAGGTGGGGGAGAAGAAGTTCCTTTCCGTCAGATAACTTACATTCCGGGACGAAGTATTCCCCGCTACAACTATGTCAAGACGTACCAAATATGCCCGGACCGTCGCTTTTAATCTTATCGTCACCGTGCAGTTATGACATCGACATCGGGAGGGATTTCAAAACCTCTTCTTACCCTTCCTTCCTTCTTCTTCTTGTAGATACGATACTTTACATTTCGAGATTTCGTGAATTTCAGTTTAGAGAGTGTTCAGAAGGGAGAAATTTTGTCGAGGGGAAATTATAATTACATTCTTAGTGATAATAAATTTTCATAATTTATATGTGATAATACGAAATATAACTCGGAAAAGATGGTAATAGATATTATTTTACTTAAATTGAAATTGAATATCGGAATTTACTTACTACGTGGCTATGATTTGGATCTCCTTCTCTAGGTCTCAACCCCAATTGACTATAATGATGAAGCCCTGATAAACCACCATAAGGATCATTAAGGTACTCAAGGTGTTGTTGAGGCGGTGGACTTGGTGGATGATGAAACGGGGGCGGAAAATACGGCGGCTGAAAATCCGGTTGAGGCAGCTGGTGTTGCATCGCTGAGGAGTGGTGCAGGCTCCCGGAGCTCCTATGGTGCGCTCCGGAGCCTCCGGCTCCGTATCCTGGTGAACTACCGCTTAAAGCCAAACTTCCGTGTCCACTTGCCGCCGTTAGGCGTTCCTACAAAAACAACAAAAATAATTACTAAAACCGTCTATAAATAAAAGAGCTTATTACATCCATATACATATTGAGTATAAAACCAATAAACTTAAGTAAACGAAAGGCGTGTAACTAATGACGAGTTACGTAGCCTCGAGTTACACCTTAGGTTAATTGGTTGTAAATGTCTTTCTGGAATTGCGTGTACTCAATGGGTAATTAGGTAGGGGTACAAGAATAATATATAGTTTGGTGAGGTTATAATATAATTAATTTGTCGTTATCGTTTGTGAAAGAATAAAAATAATGGATATTGTCTTTAAACAACATTTTATTGAAGTCTCATAATTCTTCATAATTTCTATCAAGTTTTTGGCAGAAATGCTTAATTATTGATAATAATAATGCAAATGGAAATGGCACGTAAAAAGTACTCGTAGTTCCATTATTTGTGACAGCAGTAATGTCAAAAGAAGTAACACAAATCTAATTAAGCTAAAATAACTCTTACATTTTGGTCTATATTATTACAACTTATTGAGTTATCATATATTTCGGCTAAGCGAGGATTACAATAAAATATCCAACATCTTATTTGTACGTAAAACATTGAGGCAAATAAATAAAGATACATTGAAGCATGTTTTGAATAGACTTTCTTTCCAAACCATGGAAATAGTCAACAAAGCGAAAGTTCTTTGAAGGAATAGGCAATGTAGATTTCTTCGTAAGGATTTGAAGGCAGCATAAATATACAGAAATAAGACCGTAGGGCAAGACTTTATAAAAATCAAATGGAGCAAATTATCAAGTAAATGATATGCTTTATGATATAGAGTAACGAGTAATAATAGATTTGAGTCGCATTGATAACTATACACAATAATGAAGACTTTGTTAACACGTAATTTCATTTTATATAAGCAGAAAAATACAAAAAATTACACAGTGTGTTGTTGAATGAATAAGTATTAACTACAATTATGAACTTTAATTTCAATTATCCAATTTCAAACGTGAAGAAAGAAAGATATAACAAAAAAGATCTGAAACGGTGACTACCACCTTTGTATATGATATTGCAATACTTGCTGTGGATAGAAATATTGAGGAACCAAACTTCAGGTCGTGTTAGATATAGTTAACTCATGGACTAAAACCTGGAAAATAAAGTTACACGAAAATAAATCGATGTATGTGAACTTCACAAACAAAAGAGTCGAATATTACAATTGAAAACAAAGTTTTTCAATATGCAAATACTGCCAAGTACTTAGGCATGACCTTGGGTGCTAAATTTGTATGGAAAAGGCATGTGAAAAGAAAAAGACCTAGAACAAAAATATAAGATAATATATTGGCTCATGGGTAAACAATCTGTGCTGATAATGCATAATAAATCGCTGATTAATCAGCAAGTCATTAAATGTCTTACAACTATGGGGTTGCACTAAAAAAAGTAATATCAATATTATACAAAGATTCCAGAACAAGGTATTAAGAGACATTGCAAATGAATCTTGATAAATAAGGAATAGTGACATCTACAAAGATATTGAGATTGAAAAAAGAAATTAAGAAGTAATAATGGCACGAACGAAGACTTATTCATCATATCAATGAGAAAGACATCCAACACAATTTATTATACAAATCTTCAATAGAAAGAGCACGAAATATGGATTCGTTTTCAACAGAATTATATGTTTAGTCCAGGTTATGGTTTTGGTGAGTACCATATCTCGGAGCTTTGTCTGTATAAAGTGTTTTGTATGGTCTTGTGTTTTACTTCACTTTTCAGTGCACTTAGTACTCCCTATGTTGTAGGTATGATGCAATTAGTAGGTGTGGATTACTCGTTCAAAATCCTGTCTCATAAATATCTATCACTAACTTTGATGTGAGGACAGATTATTCCAATAACTTTCGTTTTGTTTGGCCTTTGTGTTAAAAAGGTAGAAAGTTTTATTGCTATCTGAGAACAAAAACGTTGTTTTTGAGTGCTGATATGAGTTACTTGTATTTTACTTGTTAAGATGAGCTGTTTTAGTCAATTTAAACTTGTTGTGTGCTAAATTTGTATGGAAAGAGCATGTGAAAAAGAAGAAGACAGAAAAATATAGGATAATGGATTGGCTCATGGGTAAACAATCTGTGCTGATAATGCATAATAAATCGCTGATTAATGAGCAAGTCATTAAATGTCCTACAACTATGGGGTTGCACTAAAAAAAGTAATATCAATATTATACAAAGATTTCAGAACAAGAGACATTGCAAATAAACCTTGATAAATAAGGAATAGCGACATCTACAAAGATCTTGAGATTGAAAAAAGAAATTAAGAAGTAATAATGGCACGAACAAAGACTTATTCATCATATAAATGAAGAAGACATCCAACACCCAGATAGTACGCAGACTTCAAAGAACCAAACCGTTTAGGTTGGTGTACCTAGTGCAGTGAAAGTGGAAAGAAAGCAGAGAAAATAGTTTTTAACGAGTGATAGCAGTGTATATAAGACATCAGGAATCTGGAGAAGCTATGGGGTAAAACTCTAGTGTAATTTTAAGTTTAGGAAAGATCGGTTAAAGAAAAAATGCTGATTAGTCAACAGATTAATTGTGCCGATCTAAAGCAATAAATCCAATGGATCTGGTTCGTATCAACGTTTTTGCAATATGACCAAACCCATTCTTGAACATGGCGAGAAAGATTTCAGCACTGACAAATGGTCTAAATCTAAGACATTGCAAGACCATTTTAGCAAAATTGAAACTTTTATGAGTCATATACGATTTAATGAAATTTGTGCCTTTATTGAAATTGAAGAACATCTAATAACAAATTAATGTTATCCTTTCTGGAGGAGGACCACTACTTAATAATTTAAATGTACAATAAAAAGTTAATGGTTGTGTTCCCTACCAATTCAGCTAATAACTCGAAATAATGTGCTATCAATACTTACAACATTAAAAATTTGACACGATCATTAAAAACATTATAATTTCATGAAAAACGTGCTACTACATTTTCTGCAAATGTTAAAACTTTCTTGTCTACAAAAACAAAAAGAAATCTCTAATGACTCCAAATTCCAACTATTTATTTTTAACTTCAATTTATCTGATATCACCACATGACGGGACAAGTAAAAACCAAGCTCGCAAGATTAAATAAATACATTTATGCATGACATCAGACAACAGATTTAAATTCAAGATACGCTGTACTATAATGATACAACACATCATGAAAACACAACAATTATAAAAAATATAGAAAAATATATACTTTCTAACTGGTTTTTAATTACAAAAATTCTAGACTAGTCTGACTAGTTTCGGCTCTATGCCATTAAAATATAAAATTTGGTGTTTGATAAAACAATAAAATTGTAAAATTAATTTTAATAAATAAAATACAAACAAGTTAAAAGTTAAAAAGTCTAAATATGACCATATTTAGATCATATCTCTGAGGAGGGCATAAAGCCGAAACTGGCCAGACTAGAATTTTTGTAATTAAAGACCGGTATGTAGACATTGTAGGTATTTACTGGTAGAATGGATTTCAATTATAATGCTTTTCAATTGATATTTTAATGGTCAATTTGATATTTGTTGAAACAGTAGATGTTGATAAAGAAGATAAAGAGTTTATTCAGTTAAGCAAGTAACCAGAGAGAATCCCGGCAGAATAAGAATCTTTAGTTTACTGAAATATTTCCCAAATCTATAGTTTACGACAGCATTTTATGTAGGTTAAAAATGTTATCTATGCAACATATTAAGTACTAAATGCTATGTTGGTGTAAAGTAAGCGTGTTATACAAATCCTTAATAGAAAGACCACGAAATCTGGATTCTTTTCAGGTTCTGGTTTCTGTGAGTACCATATCTCGGAGCTTTGTCTGTCTATGTCTGTATGGTCTTGTGTTTTACTTCACTTTTCAGTGCTTCCTATGTTGGAGGTATGATGCAATTAGAAGGTGTGGATTATTTTTCGTTCAAAGTCCTGTCTCATAAATATCTATCACTAACTTTGATTTGAGGAGATATTATTCTTATAACTTTCGTTTTTTTTTACCTTTGTGTTAAAAAGTCTAGAAAGTTTTATTGTTATCTGAGAACAAAAACGTTGTCTTTGAGTGTTGAATATGAGTTGTTTGTATTTTACTTGTTAAGATGAACTGTTTTAGTCAATCTAAACTTGTTGATGTCAATGTTACTTTACAATGCTTGATATCCCATCGTATGAAAGGAATGATCGATCATAAAGTGATGACTCGATAATTTTGTGAATATAATAATTTTAAATATATCTATAGATAAATTCATTGAACTGTTAAAGTAAATGTAATGAACTTCGTGAATTAATTCAAATCTCTTTAAAATTTTTAAAAATGTTGATCCAAAATTTACATATTAACTCTCTTTAAATTTAACTTTCCATTTTAACAGTTAATCACCACAATTACCTCGAAATTCCAACGAACCGAAAATTATAGGAATTTTGTTTGTGAAAACACAAACAACAGCTTTGGTCTTACATTCCACTGCACGAATAATTGCACGTGAATTTTCATCGATTATTAAAATTGGCCCGTTCCTTTTCAGGAAAATGAACCGAGCTAACGGTAAACGGGTTGGACCGCGATGGAATTCTTTTGATTACTCGGGCCTCTTGTCGAAATTGCTCCTCCTTACACCGACTAATTCGGCTTCGCGCGTACAAAAAAGCGCCAAAAAAAAAAGAACGAAAGAAAGCAAAAAAAAAAAAGTTAACCGTGGGCCGCTAATTATCGGATACGTAAAGTGATTAAAGGCACCGTTAACAAAGGATGGAAAGCGGTCAAGAAATGAAATTCGAAATTTCTTTGTACTGTACTTAATAGATGTTATCGTTAAAGGTTGTCCAAATAGGTGTGGTTTAATTATTTTGGCAATTTCTCCTCAACTATTTATTTTTCAACAAAAAAAATGTTACATTTTTATAAAATCTAAAGTTGTGT